GCTTACCTGAGAGTCTCAGTGACAGACTAGCTGTCTCACAGGCCCCTTGAACTAATGAGCTTCTAAAGTCTTTTCCCAGTGTCTGTGGAAAGCCTTATTATACTTCATTCTCATAGCAAGGTCCTGGGGACCAGCCTTGACACTATTTTTATCTACTTTTCCATTTATACCCAACTCGAGCACACCAAGTCCATCTTACCTATTCTTCTACAATGTGGCTCAAATCCATCTAATTCTGTCTGTCTCTACTGCTGCCACCATCCTAGAATAGGATGCATCTCCTGAAGATCCCCCTGCTTTCCACCCATTCACTCCCCATTCTGCACAGCAGCCAGACTGAGCTTTAAAAAAATAAAACCTTATCATATTCTTCCCCAATCAAAAAATCCTTTAATGGCTTTCGATCCATCTTTGGATAAAGTCCAAACTCCTTATGGACAACAAGGCTCAACGTGAACCTTTTGGTCCCTGAATCCCATGCCAATTTCTTTTTTTCTAACATTTTATTATGAAAAATTTCCAACAAAGAGTGAAGTTAAAAAAAAAAAAAGACCGTGAATCTCCATACAATGACCTCTTGGATTTTACCATTCCCATTTTCCACTTGCTCTCCCACCTACCTATTCATGTTTCCTTTTTTCCATCCCGGCACTAACCTTGGTTTTGGGTGCATTTCAAAATAAACTGCAGACTCCAGTCCCAATGTCCCCCACATTCTTGTCCCCTACATTCTTCCTCTTGTCCCCTTCAGTCCCCTCACAGCCACATTTTCATTTCCAATTCTGTCAGACTATTTTCTATCCCTGGTTTTGTATCTATTGTCTCTTCTACCTGATAGGTCTTCAGCTCTTAATTCCTAACTCAGCCCCCAGTTCTCAGCTTTCAAACTTTCTCTGAGAGCCTGTCCCTGAACCCCCAATCTGAATTAGATCAGCTTTCTGCCTCACATAAGACCCAAGACACCCTGCAATTTCCCTAACTGTTGCCAGTCACAGTTGGTAGCTACATATTTGTGAAATTCCTTGTTTAATGCCTACCTCTTCCACTCTACTGAGAGCTACATGAGGACAGATACTGTGTCTGTATTGCAACACGTTCAGTCACTACTGCAGAAAATCAGTATTTGTCGAAGGAATGAAAGGCAGGATAATCAATAACTAGAAGGAGCTACATGGAATTAGTGAATTTATTCTTGTTTTACGTGTGCAAAAACAGTGCTGTGTTTTCATGGATCTCTGAGAGAAGGGAGAAGACATTTGCTGTCAGGTTATAACCAGCAAGTGCATTAAGACAAATTGCTAAGTATAAAGTGATGGCAAGTGGCTGTGCCAAGAAGAAAATGTGGTAGGTTTCAGTGGCTGCTCCTTCCATGAGCCCTTCCCTTCACTGTCACCCCAAGTCAACACATGATCTAAGGGAAGACAATGTGCTTGCTATGTAGACGCAGCTCAAGTCCAATAACGATGGCTGTTAAGTCTAGAGGACATCTATTGAGGTCTGGCTTTATATTGGGCACTGTTGTGAGTGCTTCCTCTGTGTGACATGATTTCTATGGCACAGGCTCCATCGCCATTCCCATGTACAGCCAGGGAAACTGAGAACAGAGTAGCTATTTTAAAACATGTTCTTTCACTACCCCTTCTAATTGGATTGTCTTTTTTGAAAACTCTACCCATATAGAATATTCTGTCAGCAGCCCCACTTAAGGATAAGAAGATTAATCTAGAAAACGCAGATGGAACATTCAGTTGGTTCTAGCAAGTCAAAAAAATACAGAAATTCACATATAGCTCAGAGATTGGAAAGATGAGCCTTGCATGGGAAACTTGGAGTTCCATATTTGAAAAAGTCAATAAAGCCACGTGATAACTATTTTTGTGGTGATTCCAACCCCACCAGATGCTCTTCCTCACATATAATCTCAATCACCTGTAAATGATCCCTTCCAAAAATTTCACCCAGATGGGAACTCAGTTTACACACAAAGATAAAACCATTGTGAACTTCCCTATAACAGGCACTGAGGGTTAACCCTGACTCTGTGTGTGTGTGGTGTGCGTGCGTGCGTGTGTGCGTGCGCGTGTGTGTGTGTCTGACATTAGAAAGTGAGTAACATCTCTGGGTCTCAGTTGTTCGGTTTCCTTATTTGAAAGGAGAAATAACATTATCCATTTAGGGTGTAGATATATTGAAATGCTACGACTATAAAGCTCAGCACATTTTGCGATGGCAACTTTTAAAAAGGAAGATGGGAAAAGGTAGGGAACGGTGGTAACTGTAATGCTCAGAATGAGGAGTCAAGGGAAATGCCTTTAATAAATGCATATGGAGGGAAGGAAGGAGGGAGGGAGGGGAGAAGGAGATGGGGAGATGGGGGTGGGGGGAGGGAGGGAGGAGAGAGAGAGAGAGAGAGAAAGAGAGAGAGAGAGAGAGAGAGAGAGAGAGAGAGAGAGAGAGAGAGAGAGAGAAGCAAGCTTGGGTAGAAGTGTCCTTTAGCGCCTGCATTGCTCTTAGCTGGATGAACTTGCCTGCAGCTACCACTTACAATGCAAATTGAGCTTAGAGTCCTTCACACTAACTACACAGCAAAAACCTTTCAGCTTTAAATAGAATACTGCAGTGTGAAATGATAGGAGCAAGAGAAAGAAAAATTCAGAGATAAATGTGAAGGAGATTTTGGAGAGAAAAAAATTCTGATATTTCTGGGCAAGTAGGAAGAATATGCAGAAATACCAAAAGGCAACAAGAACAATAAAAAAAGTCTATAGAAGAACCTAGAAGTTAATTCCCTGGAAAGTGGGGTTAAGTCAATAAAGGGGATGAGAACTTTGGGTCAAAGCCCCAATGAAGAATATTGCAACAAAGAATATTTTGATCACGGCACTTTCAAGGTATGCATGTGCTCCACAAAGTGTTCATCAGAGGAGCCTCTTCCCTCCGGCCAGAATGAAGCATTAACAGGTCGAGACCACAGCAAACTTCCTGCTCCAGCCAGCCTCTGTGATTTCCATTGTCTAAGTTCCACTGAGTTTCATTTTCTTCCTAAGACATTCACTAAATCACATAAAGAAATTTGGAAGCCTACCGTGAAACAAAGCTTTGCTTAATTTTGAATGTGGTTTGTGTGTGTGTGTGAGTGTGTGTGTGTGTGTGTGTGTGAGAGAGAGAGAGAGAGAGAGAGAGACTGCTTTAGAAAGATTTTGGAAAGTATTTACTTAAAACTCATATCTCACGTTTGAACCCAGACATTTTATCCAGAGTCATCAAGTTCTTATGAAAATGCTGTAAAATAGGAACCAAGATTAGGTAGTATCTAGGTCCCTATAAACAATAAGGGATGGTATCTTTAGCTTATTCTACAGATGACACTCCTATATTCGTGACCCCATTTGCCCATCTCCCCAGCTCAGTAAGTTTCCTTTGCTGCGACTTGGAAGAATATTGCAATATAGAAGAAAATACGAAGGCAGCTTTTTCTTTGTTGTCACAAACAGAAGTGTCCCCCAAATGCCAACAGACCCAAGGCCAACTTCTCTCTCAGATGGCAGGCTCAGATACAGCGCTAACGACATTCTACCCAGTAACTGAGTCAGTGACAAAGCACTCAGAGAAAATCTTCTAACCATTGTTATCACCTCAATAAAAAGAACCGGTGAGTGCAGTGCTTGGTATGGAAGAGGAACCGACCGAACATCTTAAGGCAGAACTCAGGCAACTCTGCTTTATCTTATGTAGCACCATGGACATGTTAGGCTTGGAGCTCTCCAATAACAATGCTGAATGGAGAATGTAGCTTCAGTGGTATACTGGGCATTCTTTCTATGTAAAACTTCCAGAAGTTTAGAAGATGCTCCCTTGACTCCCAAACTGTCTTTTTATTTCTCCCAGCATGAACTTTTACTGGCCTCTCTCACCTGTCTCTGGTAGTCTTGAGTCAATGAAATATTATAGAAGATTTAGCCTGCGGAGCATAAGGGTACTCGTAAATGAACATACCTTGCTACATTTTCCTAAAGCTCTTTTACACACATTTTCTTATGTGGCTATTGCAATGGAATAATGCAACACTTTACATGAATGTTAAGGATAAAGGCCTCCAGGTACAAAATGGAAGGAAAAATACAAAAGTTTTGGTATTTGGAAAAAAAACTGCATCCGCTGGGTTCACACACAAAAGAGGATTCCACCTGCTGACTCCCACCCCAAGCACTTCCCTCAAGGCTAATGTCAGAAGGAGCTGGGAGGGACTTGGGGGGTGGGGAGGGCATGACAATTTCACCTCTTGGCAAAGCTCAGCTTACTGAACCCTCTCGCTTTCTGCTGGCTGTTGAATCAGCAGAAACTACTGCTGCAGAATTCATAATGGTGATTTTTAAAGGCCCTACTGAAGGCATTGCTCGCCCCACGTGTCAGACTCATGGCTGCCCCAGAACAGTTTCCCCAGCCACCTTTTTATGCCTTGCTAATGCCCTTCCGAGAGGAGAGGGGCTCGCCCTTTTGCAAAGGGCCTTTTGGGTTTTGATTGTCTAAGCAGGTAACCCGGCCTGAGAGATGAACCGGCAGGAAATGAAACCATGCCCTCCCTTGCAGCCGCCGAGACACACAACATCATTCCGCTCAGGAAGGGGAGGACCCACGGTGCCTCCCGGCCCCTTCCTTTTCATCTCGCGTCAAGACCCCTGCAAACATTGGGGAAGGGAGGTCATCTCCCTTCTGGGGGTCATTTTTCTCCAGCCGGGAGCCCCGCCCTGAAAAGCCTAATCCCCGAGGGCCATTTTAACTCCCGTGGGCGCCGGGTCCACCTGCTGCTGAATGCCTGCTCGCCTCGCCGAGCCCAGATGGATGTGGGGCGCACTGGCGGCCGCCCCTGGGAGCCGGGTCCCCGCCCCAGCCCCGGGCCGGGAGCGTCTCGGCCACTACGCGCCCCGCTGCCCGCCAAGCACTGCGATCTGCAACTTGCTCCCGGCCCCGGCGGCGGCATGCGGCGGGGCTGGCGTTACCTTCGGTCGCATAGCTGTGGTCGCGCAGGAAACTGTTGTTGATTTTGCGGGTATCAATGTCCTCCTCCATTGACAGCAGGCTTACTTGCGTGGGAACCAGAAGCCGGCAGACAAGTATCCATGATCCCTCCCCGCAGCCAGTCTCACAGGAGAGGGGGGCAGGGGAGCCAGTGGGACTGCACCATGGTCCGAGCCTGAGGAGACGGGGAGGCGGAGAGAAAAAAAATAAAAACCCGGCAATGGAGCTGTCACCTCCTCCACTCGGGATCTCCGAGGCTGCGGCGGCTCCTCCCGCGGTGCGCTCACTCCAGCTCCAGTTCCCAGCGAGGATGCTGCGCCTGCCTCCGCTGCCGCCGCCGGGTGCCAAGACGCGCCGTGCCCCGAGGGGTCTGGTCCCGCCCGCCGCCCGGAAGGCGCTCGCTAGCGGGGCTGGGGAGATGCCCAACAGGTCCCCCTCGTTGGCAGCCGCTCCAAAATGCAAAAATGATCCCTCCTCCCCCGGGGAGAGCGGGCAGCCGCGACAAAATGGTGCCTTTCTGGACCCAAGCTGCAGTGGCGAGATGGCAGGGGTAGGATTCAGGTTGGCCGGGCCCGGAGGAGGGTGCTGGTCCCACGGGAGGGCGGCTCCGGCTGGCGGGGGCTAGGGGGGCCGGCGGGGAGCTGGGCTGGGCGCTGCGGCCGGCGTCAGCGCACTCACCCTCAGCCACACGCGTGCACTCGCAGCTGCTCCCGCTGCCGCCGCCGCTGCTGCTGCGCGAGGAGGCTGGAGGCGGCTGGTGCATTAAGGACGAGGCTCCTCCCAACCGCGTCAGCAGCCCGGGGACTCTTCCCCAGCAGCGGTGGTGGCCGAGGCAGAGGCTGCGGCTGCTCTGTGCTGCAGTGGGGCGCACGCAGCCGCGAACCCGCACCTGGGCTGCAAGCAGCTCGCTGGCCGCTTCACGTGAAAAGCATCACGGCGCTCTCCAACCTCACCCCTCCCGCGCCGCGCGGCGCTTGCACGAGCACCCAGAGGTCCTAGCTCGCGGCGGTTCTCCGAACACCTGCGCTTCAGGACTGCAAAGTAGGTTCCCCCGGTGTGCAGCCAGGAGGCAGGCAGGAAGTCCAGGTCCAGGTTCCTTTGGCGCACCCTCCTAGGATGCACGCGCTCCCTGGATGAAGTTAAAGGGCGAGGTCTGAGGTTCTAAGCCGCAGAAAGGAGCAGAGTGGGGACAAGGGCGGCTGCTCAGCGCCTAGTTTAACCCTCGGGTGAGGAACAGAAGGGGAGCAGCAGCCAGAACTTTTCTGAGATCACATTTGACTTCTCCATTCCAGAGTCAAAACATCTGACTGCAGCCCCCTGTGTCTACGCAGGCAGAGGGAAGCAGACGGCTGAGTTATGCGTCCAGCCATCACAGTCTACAAGAGCCCACCTCCCCACAGCTCTTTGCAGCTTGCTTTGGACAAACTGCAGCAGGCCCTCCTGTAGTTTTCGTTGGAAGCGATGACAGTGCAGGAACGCCCTGCAACGCCTCAGCCTGGAAGGTACTTTGGAACCCTGTGTCCACAGAGAGCCACTTCTGCCCTGAGGGGATTTCAAAGATCCAATTAATACAAAAAAGGAGAACCGTCTTCCAACTTCAGTTAGGAGGGAAATCGCTGCCCCCACTCCATGTTTCCCCAAATTGCAAATTCCCTATTTGAAAGAAAATTAGATCTTTATTGTTATGAAACAACCAGATTCATTTATGAAGCAACCCAAATCACTAAAAAGCCAATTTGGAAAAGAAATTTCCCTGGTTTCCTCTTGTAAAAGGTACTCATTTCGATGGGTGTCACTGCCAGGAAAGACATCAGCAAATGTCTTGCTCAGTTAAGCTTCACAAGTTTAGCTAGATGAGCCCAGAGGGATCTTTGAGTTAATTATATACATATGATGCTTCGCCTAACACAATTTAGAAAGTATTTGAAGTTCAAAAAAATGGGAAAACAAGTCCTTAACTGAGGTTGGGAATTGTCATTAGATTTCTATGCAGAATAGATGCTTCTGGCAGGTAGAAAATGGCATTGCCCCATCTTCAGAAGACAATCATATATGGAGAAGAGTGGAAATATTCTTTGACATAAATATTTGGGGAAACTTCAGCTCCTAATAGATTCCATTTTATTCTTAGCTGGTGGTTAAGTCTTTCATACTTGTTTGATGATTTGTTCAAAATTCACTTATGAATTTACAGTAACTGATGAAGACTGGTACCAGGTGACTTACTCCACTTCAGCACCAATTGCCATGGCTGGTTGTCCCGCATCATGAGCTGTGTGATTCACCAGGGCTCCAGGGGTCAGCTCCCTTGTGCTTACACAGTCCAGTTTCTCTTAGAGACCGGGAAAACTGGGAGGGATGGGGATGGAGTAGGAGGGAAGCAGGGAAAACTTGGTTCATCTCTCAGTGTGCCCATGTGGTAAGAAGACATCTTGCCTTTAGTTGAAATGACCTTAAGTTGCAACGGCAGACCTTGGAATAGCAGTGGGGAAATTCTTTCCCTTATCATCCTGGAACATGGGGTAGATTGGAACAGAGCTGCATGAAGAATAAGGTAGGCCCAGGGCCATGGGTCAGGCTGTGCTTGAGGAATTTTCCACTGTAACCAATGTAAAATATTTCCTCACAATAAATAGATGGAGCTTCTGGGTTCACTAAATTTTCCCTTTCGTATTTTCTGCAAAATTTCACCTGCATTTATTCAATTTACAGATATCTCCCCCATACCTCCCCCCACAACCTCCCTAAAGCACAAGGTCAGAGAAGGCAAATTCAACAGAGCACCATGGATTACACAGATTTCAAGATTTTGATTTTCAGACCACTCTTTTACTGAGAGCAACAGGGAACAAAGTTGTTTTGTGTGTCGTAATCGAGATATGGCGTGAAAGAAGCCCTGTGCACTCCTGTTTTGGTGTGAGAATATCTAGACTATTTTTCAGAAGACTCGGTGAGTTTCTGTCTTATCCTCCAAAATTTCAAGTGCTTTCCAAAAGCTGTTGGCATTGGCGCATGCCATTCCCTATTCAGCATCCCAGCTCAACTGTACTTCACTGAGGCCTCCCCTTTCACACCCTAGTCCCTTCCTCTGCATCTGTCTTTATAACTATTTGTTTCTTCTTCATGGGGATTTGCATTTTGTAATAGTTATGTACTCATTATTGTCAGCCATTTACACCGTGTCTCTGATATTAAGTATCTGTCACTTAGTAGATGCTCAACTGTATTTGAATGATGATATTCTTGAATGAATGAGTAAATGCTTGAATCTGTTGAGTGAGCTTTAACACTGGTTGCTAAGGCTTCAGGTACACAGCATTATACATCAACATCTGCACAGACTAGAGTTCACCACCAGAAGCCCAGTCTCCATCCCTTACCATACAACCGTTACCATACATCCTTTACCATACAACCATACCCTTTTATGCTATCTGCACATCTTCTTTTCCCTTCCTTTCTGTTAATACTAAATTGGTCTTATAATATAAAAGATTATTTTTGATTTATTTAGTTCGCTGGTTTTGTTTCTTTATGTACCATATATGAGTGAAATGATACTGTGTTTGCCTGATATATTACACTTAGCAAAATACCCTCTAGGCCCATCCATGGTGTTGCCAATGGCAGGATTTCATCTTTTTTTTTTTTTTTAATAGTTGAGCAGTGTGCATTGTGTACATAGACCACATCTTCTCTACCTACCCATCTGAAGGCTCGGCACTTAGGTTATTTCCAACTCTTGGCTATTGTGAAAATGCTATGATAAATATGGTACATGTATCTCTTTGAATTAGTGATCTTTAGGTCTTAGAGGTCTACTTTTATTGAAATTCTTGCAACTCTTCCCCTCTCCCCCCAACAACAAAACCTGTTGTGAGCCAAAAGCTTGTAGCTCCTATTCCTACTGAAATCATTGTTGCATTCCTGTATATAGATGTGTGTATATACATGGATATATATTTACATTCCTTTATATACATTCCTGTATATATGTGTGTATGTATATATGTGTGTGTATATATACATTCCTTTGTGTGTGTGTGTGTGTGTGTGTGTATGCACTGAAAAATATTTACTGAGCACTACCAAGAGTTGCTCTAGGTTTTGGGCATACAGCTAAATCAAGAGTTCCTTCCTTCATGGCACTGAAGTCTGTTATCTGATTTTAATAGCATGAGCTTTAGAGAAATACAACAAGTACAGTATCAGTCAACAGACTGTAGCATAATGTTAAGAACCAAGCCTCTGCTATCACACAGATCTGACTTTCTGCCACTTATTATTGTGTCCTTGAGTAAGTTAACAAGATTTCCCTAAGCCATGTTCTTTAAAAATCTATAAATTAGGGAGAATAGTATGCACTTCATGGAGTTACTGTGGTGATTACATGCGCTAATGCTTGAAAAGAAAATATTGCTATTTTATGTTGAATATTTATTATCATTACCACCATCAGTTCAGAACACAGTTTACCCGTCTACTATGTCAGCCACCGGGAGAAGATGGGAGATTCAGCAATATCGATGCATAAGATGCATAGTCAGTCTCTGCCATTATGGAACTTAGTATCTAATTTATAGTTTATGCAAAGGAGGCCACAGGCTACAAAAGGATTTGCAGAAGACACTCTGAATGGCTGACCTAATTCAGGCTTATGCTTTACACCAAAAAGGGCAATTGCAAATACATAGCCTGAAATGACACACTTCAGCAGGACAGCTGATGGACGCATTCTTTTTAGTCATCCTTGCCATGATCCCCCTCCCCCAGACTCCTGAATCCTTGCACCCCAGTTAGCTTAATGCTGCCCATGCTGGAACCTGTTAGGTCATCCTGTCCAATTAGCACATTAACTATCTGCAATTTTATTAAAACCTTTGACCTAAGCCAGCCTGGAGATTCTTAATATAGACTTAGCTGTCAGACAGTCCCAGCTTGTGTCCCAGCTTGGGCATTTATAAATTTTATGACCTTTAGCAAGTAATATAATGTCTGTGAGCCTCTGTATTTACAAAACGAAAGAAAATAATAGAAGATACTTTGCAGAGTTGCTGAGTGGCTTCACAGGCAACTGAGGAAAATGGTTAGTACATGCTTGGCCTGTGGCCTGCCTGGCTTCACTGAGATGTCAGTTCTCCCTCCAACAGTGGCTCATCATGGTCTCCACACACAGAGAACTGGAGAGTCACTGCATCAATCACTCATGTGAACAAAAGTGACCCAAAACCCAAGGTTCACTACTTATTAAGTTGCCTTAATGAGCAACCAGGAGCTGGATACATGAAATGTTACCATCTTGCAAAAGTCCTCTATAAGCCATAGTGCTACGGTCCTAAGTACAACTGGAAGGAATTAAGGTCATCTCTTGATTTGACATTATTTATGTGCAGACCTAATCACACTTCTGCATTGAGGGGTCACATGGAGTCCCGCTCAAGGATCACTAAACACCTAATGCACAACAGTCTTTCTGGGGTAGCTTATGTGCTGGCGGCCCAGAGGATAACCTCTGACCTCTTGAATTTCTAGCGAGGTTTGCAACTCCTTTTTGTGCATGTTACAACATGTGATACCATAGAGTGAGCCTTCAATGTGCCATTTAACGTAGGAAAAGAAAACAAAGCATCTTGTGCTCAAAATTGTATGTTGATTCTAGACTCTGGACTCTTAATGGATTTCACTGAGTAAAATATGACCTCAATTATCCAAGTACAGCTATTTATGCAAATACACACTATTGAGCTGGAGCTGATGCTTTCTGGCTGTTGAGAAATTATGCTGCTGGTAACATACCTTTTCCAGTAACAATATCGTGTTACTCATAAAATTTCAGCTTAAAATCTGAAATCTGCCATGGTGGGGTATTTATAGCATGGAAATAAAAACCTATAGAAATCAGGACTTTCTTTTTTTGAGTGGGTTGTTAACCATTTGCTAGCACACCAGAAGACATACCTCACTTGTTGCTTATCTTTTTACTCATCCCTGCTACCCGTGCCAATCATTCTACTCTCTCAATACTAAGTCTCCCAAGCTGTGTCAAATTCCAGAACTTTCCACCATCCAGCCAAACTTCAGACATAATCTTAAATAACTCTCATAATCCTACCTTTACCAGGAAGCTTTCCCATGTCCATCAGAGGAAAGCTATTGCCTTTGTTTGATTCCTTCCAAGCTGGTTATGAAATTGCCTGTGAGCAATTGTCCTTCTAAGGTTCCTAGACCATGACTGCTCTTTTCCACTGTTCAAGTCCCTCGATCACCTTGTTTTAGTCCTTGATTTGCCTAAATGCCAAACAAAAATATCGACTGTGTCTGATTTCTTTGACAGTTCTTCCACTTGTCTGATTAAGACATTGATGAAAGAAAACAAAAGACACAAGAATCCAAGAGTTCAGATCTGACAGCCTGAGAACATTATCTTTTTGTAACCTTTTGCATTCAGTAATTCTAGAGTTAAGCTGTCCTGCCCAATGCAGTTCTCATTTGCATTATATTTGCTAGGAACTAGGTGAGGATTTACAAAACCAGTTTAACAATACTCAAGGGATAGTGCCTAGTACCCAATTACATCTCTCAAGGTAAAATTTCAGTATAATTTATAGAATATGTATTAGGAAATGTGTTTCAAATTTCTTGAAAATACACTAAGCAATAACACTTTACAGGATTTATCCTAAGAAAATGATCATAAATATGGACAAAAATTTAGCCAAAAGTTTACATCTCATACATCTCAGCAGATTGTTTATAATCATGAAATACCTAAAAACATACCCAAAATCCAGCAGTGGGTTTGATTGGGAAAAATTATGGTGTGTTCATAATAGAGGAATTTTATTGACCTGTTGATATAATTTTTTTTTTTTTTTTTTTTTTTGCGGGACCCTCGCTGGTGGCCAGGGATTGAACTGGTGCTGCAGAGGCTGTGGGCAGCCTCGCAACCCAGCGCTCAACCGCTGCGCCACCAGGGGAGGCCTGAAATAATCTTTAGAAGTTAACATTGGTTAGGCAACTATTATTTATAGGTATATAGAGCATATTCTGTATATGCTGAGAGCATATTATGTATATGCTATACTAGGACTATCATTTAAATCTAACAAAACTTTAAGGTAATTATTTTTATTAGTACTCCATTATACTGAAGGCAATAGAGATAAATAATATACCCAAGTGTCAATAAAATTGGAGCCTTGTGTGTGTTCTCTCTCTCTCTTGCTTTCTCTCTCTCTCTCTCTCTCTCTCTCTCTCTCTCTCTGTGTGTGTGTGTGTGTGTGTTGGGGTAAGTTGTGGGCACAATAGAATCTTAGAGATTTTCTTCCAATCCACCCACCACTAGATTCTGATCCTTCTTAGGAAAGATTATTTTTCTCAGTTGAAAATCACTATTGTGTTGGCGAGGATGTGGCTAAATTGGAACTCTCCCACACTGCTGTGTGAGTGTACAATGGTGCTGCTACAAATAGTTTGGTAGTTCCTCAAAATATTAAAGAGAACTAACACACAAGCCAGATATTTCACTTCTAGGTATATATGCAAGAGAACTGAAAGCACATATTCAGCCAGAACTTGCACATGAATATTCATAGCAAGATTCGTAACAGCCAAAAAGTGAAAACAACCCCAAAGTCCATCATCTGATAAATGGATACATAAGATTTGATAATGGGTTATTATTTAGCTATAAAAAGGAATAAAGAACTGGTACATACTATCACATGGATGAACCTGGAAAAAGACCTCATATTCTGTTATTCCATTTATGTGAAATGCTCAGAATGGGCAAATCCATACAGACAGAGAACAGATTAATGGTTGCCTGGGGCTGGTTTGAGGGATAGAAGTGACTCCTAATGATCTCAAGATTTCTTTTTTTGGTTGATCAAAATGTTCTAAAACTAGATTAGGGCAACAGTTGCTTAACTCTTAATATACCAAAACCCACAGAATTGTATTCTTTAAAAGTATAAATCTTCACGGTGTGGTATTTCAATAAGGCTGTTATTGAGGATTAAAAAAAAAAAAAACACTACTAGCCCTCCAAAGACTAAAGATGGATCTACCAGATGGTAGACCAGGAATTCTCCTCCAGGGTACCTATCCAAAGAGCACAAATTCAAAAGGAAACCTGCACTCCTATGTTTATCACAACACTATTTACAGTAAATAAATAGCAAATTGCACTACTGTTTCTAAGATATGGAAAGAGCCAAAATGCCCCAGATAAGATGCATGGATCAAGAAGTTGTGTTATATACATACAATGGAATACTACTGAGCGATCAAAAAAGATAAACTCCTGCCATTTGTGGTTACATGGATGGAACTGGAGGAGATTATGCTAAGTGAAGTGAGCAGGAGGAGAAAGATAAATATTGGATGGTTTCACTTACAAAGGATCAGACAAAGACAAACTATAAGAAGGACCTCTGAAAGCAGACTGTAGATCGGGGACATTCAGGAGGTTGTGGGGGAGGGAGGGAGGGAGAGCACAGTGGACTATGGTGGAGGGCTATGGATGCTTTGGTGGTGGGTAAACTATGGTGACCACACCTGAGGGGAGAAATCCTCAATTGTGAAAAAATAAGTAAGGATGTTTAGTAAATAAATAAGAAAATAAAAGCCTGCTATTATTATAAGCCACTGTTACTTCTAGGAATATATCCTATATCCTTCAGCTATAATTGAAAGGTATCTAATGACAAGGATATTCCTGTTACAGTATTTTTTTTTAAAGATTTATTTATTTATACAATAACCAGGGTACAGACCGGAGGGGCAGGAGGGTGAGAGGATTCACCAGAGACAGAGCAGGGAACAGAACAGGCAGACTGACTGAAATACACTGCCGAGGGGCGCAGCGGGTGAGACAGGAGAGGTCTGCTGCACAGTGTGGGATTCTCGCCGATTGGCCTGTATCGAACTCATGCTGCAGAGGCTGCGGACAGCTTCATTGTGCTGTGCTCAACTGCCTGCGCCACCAGAGAGGCCCTACAGTATTTTTTAAAAGTCACAAAATAATAATGAGTGGTCTCACTTTTTGGATAAAAATGTGCATATGCCAAAAGGAATATATAAAAATACTTTATGGTAGTTATGTGTGGCTTTCTTTTTTGTTTTGTGCTTTTGTCAAAGAAAACTTAGAACACGGATCTTTTTTAATAATTTAATTTTTTCTGTAAATTTTTTTTAAATTTAGGTAACACTGACTTATAACACTATCTGATTTAGGATAATAGTAAGGGATGCACCCATAGTCCTCTACCAAACCACTGGGCCCCCACCCTCCCTCTGTGATAGCCTTAATTCTGCAGTCAGATTTCTAGGTTTTGGTTTAGTTTTCTCTGTTCCTTGGTTTTGTTTCTTTCTATTCCATAAATGAGTGAAAGCATGAAGGATTTGTCTTTTTTCCTTCTGATTTATTTCACTTAGCATAATCCCTTCCAGTTTCATCCATGTTGTCATAAATGGCAAGATGTCATTCCTTTTTATAGCTGAGTAGCATTCCATTGTGAACATATACCATATCTTTGTTCACTCAACTGTCACTGACAACAGCTTAGGCTAGTTCCCTAACTTAGCTGTTGGAAACAGTGCCACAGGGAACATAGAAGTCATGCATTATTTGGCAAAGAAAAGTTTTCAAGGTTAGGTTTTTTTTTTTTGAATGCCATGACACTTTTTAGGATGAAACCTTACATTGCAGAGATCAAAAGTCATTTTCTTCACACCTGAAATTGAGAGATTTTAACAATGGTGCTATGAATACATACAAAAGCTCTATCCATCAGAAATACAACCCAAGCCTTATTTGTAATTTTAAAATTTTCAAATTGGGGGCCTCCCTGGTTGCACAAGAGGTTAAGTGTCAGCACTATGAAGCAATCAGCAGTTACTGCAACAGGAGTTCAATCCCCGGAAAGGGAGGTGACCCAGATGCCACAGCAGACCTCTCCTGTCTTGCCCACTGCTCCCCTCAGCAATGTATTTCAGTAGATCTGTCTGTTCTGCTCCCCACTCTGTCTCTGGGGAATCCCCTCACCCCCCACACCTCTGGCCTGAACCCTAGCTCTTGTATGCATAAATAAATCTTTAAAAAATAAAATAAAATAAAAATTTTAAATTGCCTCAGTGTGAAAACAAGTGAATGGAAACAAGTGAAAAGATACTGTTAAAATTAATTTTAATATTTAGAAAAAAATGACAAAAAATGAAAATATTTTATTTAACATAAATTATATTTTAAATGTATAATCAATATAAGGTTAATTATATATTTACTTCATATGTATATGAAACCTGGTGTGGGTTTCACACTTTCATCATCACTCAACCATATTTCTTGGACTCAATTACCACATGTGTTAGTGACTACAGCATAGATATAGAGGAAGTACTCAAAAAATATGGTTACATTCACATGTCATCAAAGAGACATTATCTACTAAGGATTTGAACTAGATTGTCATGCTAAAACCAAACTAAGTGACATTAATCTGCTGAGCCTACCAATTATTTAAAGTAATACAAACAAATATAATATAGAGCGATATCCACATACATCCATATACATATAAAATCATAAATATAACCTAATTTGATTTCCCCCAAATTAGTAACAGAATAAAAACAGATCAAGATTCTAAAAGTGCTCAGATGACACCATATAAAAACCCGGCAGACAGCAAGGAAGAGAGGATTTAGTCACTGTAATTGTTAAAACTCCAGTAGCCAAACTGCTTAATTCAGTTTAATTCAGCACCTATGGCTTTACTTGCAGCTAGGAGAAGAAGCCAAGAAGCCAGATGCCACTGCCAGAAAAAGGATTTTCACAGCTGGGCATCTGGACTCTATTATGACCAGTAATGGTAGAGAAATTTAAAGATACAGTTATAGGCATCCGACCGAGAATTATAAGAAGACTTAGATTGGATTAGAGAGTAGAATTGCATGGTCTCATGATCAGTGGGTCACCCCGGAGGACTTATTGAATTAGACCTATTGCCTTGAACCTGTGCATGTAAACAGCTTCATGTGTGCATTGAGCAACCTCTCCTTCCTAATACATTTTGTTCATTGATTTTTGGGGACCACTTTCTTGATTTTTCTGCTATATCAATGTACATTCTTTCCTAGGCTGTTTGCTGGCTCCTCTTTGCTGCTTTGGCCTCTAAAGTACACATACTCTAGAGTTCAAAGTTAATCAGATTTCTTTATCCCAGCCCCACTCTCTAGTCTTATGGCTTGCTACTCAAGGGATGACAAAATCCCAAACTTAAATT